GGGTGTCAGGTACAGAGGTCTGGAAGGGGAGAGAGGCAAGTGCAGGACCCTGGGGATGGTTTTACTGTGCCCTGTGCCACCAAAAATGGTGGTAGAGAAAGAATAGAAGACCTACCAAAGGGATGGAGGCAACTAAGGCGAACTAGGGAGGTTGGGGAAATAAAAAATAATAATGCAAAGAGGGCAGAGAGATAAAGAAAGGGAAAACACCAGTGACCCTACACCTCTGTGGGCAGGGGGGTGGTGGCACCCACTTGCCAAAGCCACGTCCTTCAGCTTTGCTCCATGCGACATGGTTTTGAGGCAGAGGGTCTGAGCCAGTTTTAGGGGGTTACGTATTGCACTGTCTCTTTTGGGGGAGCAGAAATAACATCCCAGGTGAGCCGTTTGCCTTTCCCATGTATGCTTTTGGCTTTGGGCTTTTATTAACAAAACCAAGGACTTTGTGCATTGATGTTTTCTAAAATCAGAGGGAAAATGATCCGAACGGGTCGGCTGCCCATCCGCATGCCTCGACTTGCCGGCATCCCCCCCACCTAGGCTGCACCCCATCGTTTCAGCACCTTGCCACCCCACCGTCACCCCTCGCCTTGCCACAGGTGTTGCTTTTTCCTCCGCTCTCCTCCCACCCCTTTTTTTGCCCCCCAGCATTGCTCCATGCCTTCCTTCCACTGTGCTGAGCCTGAGAGGAGCTGCACGCCGAGAGCAGCCTGGCCGGCAGCCCCGGACGCGGCTGGGTACCACCGGCCGGGGGGACGGGGAGAGCAGCTCTCGGTGATGCAAAATCTGTTCCCATTGCCTTGTGCTGCTGGCCATCGCTTGTCGCATCAGGGCATCCGAGCGTAGCATTCCTCTTCCAGTCCCGGTCTGCTTTAGCAGCATCCTCCATCCCTTGTCAGCCTTGCATCTTCCCCATCCCTTCTTCTAATCCTGCGAAGAATCAGCGGCTTCTAGCCAGGAGGCTCGTGTGGCTGCGAAATCACGGGGCTGAGCTGGAAATGTCACCTCTGCCCGTGCCAAGCTTGGCTGCGTGGGGTTGGCACGGGACAAGATTGTTTTCGGAGTGACTGTGGTGTTCGCTGGCATCGCAGTGGGCATCAGGTCCTGCACCCGCCGCAGTATCGATGGTGTTGGGTGACCTGGTTATAACACACTTATCTCACGGTTCAAGTCCACTGACCTGATATTTTTGGAGTGCCGAGGACCCTCCGGCTCCTATAGACTCCGGAGGCACCCAGACATCTCCCTGGATGTCAGAAAATTGGGGTGTGTTTTGAGGAACGCATTTAAAACAGCTCCTCTCTCTGCTGCAAGAAAAAAACGCTGCTTTAATCATGTTTGCAGCAATTAGGTTCCAATCGGGGCCGTCGGCGTGCCTGGCTTTTATTGTGAGATGGGGATTTACGGTGCCTGAGGCTGCCAAAGCCCCTGCAGCTGGATCCCGACAGCTTCAAAGGGCAGCAGCGCTGGGGCTCATGTTGCTCCCGTTGGTTTATTTTCATGTGGATCTGTCTGTCCGGCTTTATAATGAGATTATAAGCTTGGGGAACCGGGAATTTGCTCGGTGTTTGGCTGTGTCGAGCAGAGGGGATGCCTGCCCCACGACCGATGCTCCCCGAGAGCATCAGCCTGTCACCGGCATAGCAGAGCCACCGCTGCAATTAATGCTGGAAAAAAAGTAAATTGAGATTAATGGGTTGAGGTGCAAACCAGCGGTTTGCTCGTAATGTGTTCCTTGGATGCTCGGGATGGAAAAGCTAAAGAGCTGCGTTTAAGCACAGTAACTGAAGTGCTTAGCCGGGATGCGCTGAGGCTTGGAAGGAGTTGTGCATCGCTGGGATGTGCCGCCCCGGAGAAGGTGAGCAGGAGCTTTAAGGGATCCGTCTGCTCCCAGATCCCGGTGCTGCAAAGGTGGGAAGGAGAAGGACTCGCACATGAGGGAGATGGTGTCGGTGGATCGTTCTGCTGGTTAATCCTCCTGAATAATGGGCTTGGAGCTGGCAGATGAAACTATTTTGCTAAAGCAGGAGGAGGATCCCGCAGCCAATTAAAGGATTAGAGCTGAAAGCCAGTGCATTGCCTCTGAGTGCATCAATTTATTAAGAGTAGGGAAATAAAAAGCCGTTTCTCATGCTGTGAGAACGCCAGCTCCCACGGGTTTGGGTGCATGGGAAACTCTTCCATCCCTGGAAGGGATTTGGGTGTCTTCCTTGGGAGGGTGCTGCTCCTTCATGATTTAACCGCGCAGCAGTGCTGGGTGGGAGGCAGCCATCGCTGCTCGGAGGCGGTTCGGGTGGGATGAACTCTGGTTTCTGCTTGAAACAGGGGAAACTGAGGCCCATGGGGATGAGGTGAGCTGCCCAAGGGGATCCGTAGCAGGACGCAGGGGTCAGGTATTTTAGGGTTGAAGTCAGACTGTTGCTTGAGCATCCAAAACCTGTGCGTGTGTGCTCGAAATGGGGCGTGCGTAGCCTGTTGTTTTCGGGGCTGTGCCAGCAGAGATGAAGACGCGACCTTATTCGGTTGATTTATTTTCTAAAGAGAAAAGAGCCACTGGGTGAGAGGGAAAGCAGAGGCAGAGAGAAATCACTGGGGGAAGCTGCCGGCCACCTCTGCAAGAGCAAGCGTTGAGCAAATGCTCTTCCAAGCTCGCTCCTCTCGGAGCTGCTTTAGGAGCAATGCACAGGATGAAGGACAAAGTCAGGAAAGAGAAACACCCAAAGTGAGCTTGAAGACGGATAAATTCCTGGGAGGACGCAGGGGTGAAGAGTTTCAAGTGACACACCTGTACGTTTTGCAAATGCGGTTTGATGCTGAGTAATAAACCTTGCATCCGATGTGCTGCAAAACAGCCAATGCAATCTAGCTTTCGCTTACAGACAGGTCAGGGGACCGGCTTCCTTGGTGCTGGGATGATCAGCAATGAAGACCAGGGTCAAGAGAGATGAGCAGTAAACCTCCAGCAGTCCTAGAAACCTCTTGGCTTGCACCTTTGGCTGCGCTTGATGGATATTTATCCCAAGAAAACATCTCTTGCCCTCTGGGAGTGGACTGACATAGGCTGGGCAGAGCTCTTTCATCAGCCTGCTGCGTTGATACACATATACATTTGATTGATAAACATGTATTTATTGATGCACGTGAGGGTTTCCAGGTCCTACCCAAGGCTCTGTGGGTTGAGGAGCCTTTTCCCTTGTCCTGCTGTGCAATAAAGTTCACAACTTGCTGCCATCGCTCTTAGAACCAGTTCGGGCAATTTTCTTCCTCCAGCTCCCAGCACCGCCCACGTGTTTGGTCCTCGGGATTTTTCTGAGCATCCCTTTGGTTTCCCGGCAAACCCTGGGATGTTATTCCTGCGGTGCGGGGAAGCGCAGCCTGCAAGGATGGGGCTGCATCCCCCCGGACCACGCACATTGTCCACAGATCACCGGCTGCATCCTGGCCCCAGCATCTTTCTTTATACTAACAATTAACAGTTATACAGAAAGAGCACGGCTTAATTTTCAGTCACTAGGCTGAATTTGTCATTCTGGTACCTGGGAAAACCTTGTAAATGGTGTAAAATTAATAGAGGACCAAGTTTCAAGTCATTTTAGGCTAGCCACAGAGAGGTTTTTTTCATTTTTAATCAAAACCTGCATCAAAGCCGCCCGTGTGAGCCTGGAGCGAGGATGCTTCAGGACTCCTGCGCTGTTTCATGTAGTGCACGACTGATAATTTCCTTTGCCAGTGCCAAAGGGTACCGACGTGCTGTGGGTAATACCCTGCCCCTCCGGCTGTCCCCAGGAGCTGGTGTTTTCGCATTTCAGAGCAAAACATCGCTGAGGCAAAAAACACCTGCAATCTGAGACATCCCTGCTTTCCCCTTGCTAAGTGATGCCCGATCAATGAAGCAGGTATCCTCTCCGTCAAGATTTAGCTCCCACTTGCCTCTTTCTGCTCTTATTCCGCCCAAACCGTGTGATTAAACAGTAATTAATCTCCTTTTTGCTAATACATCTATAGTCCCAGACGTGCCGGACTGGGGCTTGCACTGCCAGCCTCCCGAGTCGCCCCCAGCCATGAGGAGACTGCATCCTGTGGAGACGGAGATGCTGCTCTCCCCATCCTTCCCGGATTGCATCCAGGGAAGCCAAGGGACTTTCCCAGCTCTCCCAGGGGAAAACAGTCATGGATATGGAGGAGCAAAGCAGAACAGCCCTGAAACACCAGCGGCATCGTGGCTCACTTGCCCGCGATCGCTGGCTTTATCACATCCCACTTGCCACCCGCCTTTCGCGGCTGGATTTATCCTGAATTCCGCAGAGTAGCTGCACGATGTGGCTAGCACCTTTCGGGGGAGTGCGAGATAAATAACAGGGCCTTCTCTCCGGGTTTTTTGGGTCGTTTTTTTTCCCAAAGGGATTATTCAGCAATACAGCGTGAGAGTTTCTGGCAGGGCTGGGGCTGGGCTCCTCCAGCAGCATCGCCCGCTCCGTGTTGGATGCTCTCCTCCCGTCCCCAGCCCCGCTGGCTCCCGGCTACCGGCATCTGGGACGCTCCCTGCACATCAGTGGTAGGAGCTGCTTTTTCTTCTCCGGCTGGATTCCTTTGGCACAGCCCGTTCTCCGTGAATTCCTCTCGGCAGTTATTTCTTAAAGTGTTGTCCGAAAAGTTCCAGATCAAATACTGTAACTTGCTCTAAACTGGATATAGCGTTTCCTTTTCAAAATGTTGATTTTGGATGCCTCTTTCTGCAGGCTTCTGCTTAAGACGTTCCTTCCTGCTAGCAGTAGGTTGTCATCTAATTAGTGCCTTTATTTTATAATAATTAATAAATAATTAGAAATGACATTATATCTTCACAGGACTGAACGATGAAATGAAAATGCTGGAGTCTTTTGGTGCACATCATTCATTGTCTGTATGACAAGCGGTCAATATTTTGTTTATTATTGGTAATAATTCAGTAGTAAAATGATGGTTCTTTTGGCTGAAACGTCCCTTTTCCTTTGCTACAGAGAAAGCAGCTGATGATGAAGTCCAGAAGTCCGACATCTCGTCCAGCAGCCAAGGGGTGATTGAGAAGGAGTCTCTGGGACCTCTTCTTCTGGAGGTAGGTGCTAAAGCATTGTTGCTGATGCTGCCGGGCTCCCGCTACTGCCCAAGGCAAAGCAGTGCACCAGGAAAGTGAAATACAGAGGAGGAAGGCAACGGGGACGTAGTTGGGATGCTCTAAGCCCAACCATGTCCCTGGCCTAAGTTACAGGTAAACTGATCTTAGTCCGTCGCTTCAGCAACTGGTTTGGAAAGCGAATCTTAACCAAGCTTGATGGAGCTTGGACTTGGTTAAGTCGAAGCTGTTCTGGGTAGCTTCTTAGTATCAGCATTAAAATACTGAGTTGCTTCTAAGTGTGGATTAAATTGAGCCCCTGTCCTCATTTGGAGGTGAGTTAGGTAGTGTGGCTGGATGGTTTTCAAGGTATTTGAATCCTCCTGTTCTCTGAAAAATAGGGAGGAACGAGGAGGGCGCTCCGCGTTTCTGTTGGTATCAGTAAATCAGAAATAATCGTATCTCAGGAGGAAGGTCAGAGTTGGATCTGAGGGGACCATCTTGTATGGAGAAGGTTATTATATGAGGGTTATTATATTATATCACAGGCCCCAGAGATAAACTTCAAATCCTAAATCATTCAGCTGGTAATTTCACAGGGGGTGGCTGGGGTTGGGGCTGGGGGGTTCCTCCCTGGGGACAGCCAGCACCATCCCACAGCCGCCTTCTTGCATTGAAACCGCCTGATAAAATTACGCATTCAAAGTCCAAAAGGAAGCAACATCCTCATCTGATTCGTTTAATTAACTGTAAGAGCATAATTGTTGACATGACACAGTCCAGCGATTTACTTGGAGGTTTCTGTTGGGAGCCCAATAGCTGGGAGGTGAAATGTGGCACCATTTTTGAGACAGAAAGCCAGCCTGGGTTTCAGGATCCCTGGGGAGAGAGGCTCTCGCCAGCCACGTTTTTGGCCTCTTCTGTATCTCCGAAAGACGCTCAGAGGCCATGGGGAGCCCTCCTGCACTGCGATGCATGCTTTTCCAGACCTGCTTAATCCCTCCCCGTACCACACTGGTCTCCCCTGAGCCCTGGACTGAAGGTGTCAAAATTAATAAAACTCTGCAAGAGGTGACTCTGCAGATGGAGGAGTTAATGCAAAAGGGATGGGATGCATCAAATGAAGGGTCTGACTTGTGGAAAGGATGGAAAATGGCTGCTGGAAGCATGTGGATGGAGTTAATGGGGAGTTGGCATCTTGGCTAAAGAGGTGCTCAGTCTAACAGAGGCAAAAACGCAGAAGGGGCTTAGAAATTAGGCTGGGAATGGCACGTGGGTTTTGAGGAGCGTGTTGGGTGCTAGAAACAGGCAGGGGAATATAAAGTGATGTGGGAGAAGAAGGCAGATCCTCAACAAAACCCCAGTATTTGGGTTATATTCGTGAAGGCATCCTACAAGAGCAATGGCAGAGCAAAGAAAACCGTGAGAGAGAGCAGCATCCTTACATCCGCAGTAAATCCATGTATTTCACTGTGTGGTGTTGGGAAGGTGCCTTTACATTGCTTAAATGATGAATGTGGGGCCAGCCGGCTCACCAGAGCATCATTCAGCCAGAGGTGATCCCCTCGTGTTCATGTCCGTGTCCACACGTGGGAATAGGTGGCTCGCTGCGGCTGGGAGCCCTGGAGGTGGCCAGTGCCTTGGGTGATGGGGAGCAGAGTGCCTCAGGGCAAAGCGGGGACAGCAGCACATTGGTAATAGAAATAGCCCTGGAGAAAACCTGAGGTCATTATATAAAAAGGAAATTAATTAAATCAGCTAGCTCATGACTAAAAATCACCCTCGATGCTTGGGGTAGGTATTGATGCATCCTTTCTGTGCGAAGGAACGCAGAGGTGTGTTACTGCTCAGTCGATGCCGCTTTGTAAACAACCTACCCTGTATTATTTGATTTAAAATCCATGTTTAGATTGCAGTTATTATCTATACAGGCTGAGGAATAATTTCCTAATTGGCCTCCTCGCATGTGAAGTCCATGCGCTTGAGATGCTGACCCCGACCCGTGCCCGTGCTACGGAGCATCCGTGGCTGCGTGAAGCACTTTGAGGATGCTAAGCCCTTACCATGCTGAGTTTATTTGCCATGTGGATTGACCGTGAGAAGCATTTAGTGGTTTCGCTGGTCCCCAAGCAATCCACAGCCTCCCGTGCCTAAAAACATTCCCCAAATGACTTACAGCTTCTTCTGGGTGCCCTGGGCTCAGGCGGGGTTTTCAAACCTGGAAGGGTGGAGATAAAAAGGGCTATTAAAAAGCATCTCGTTCATTTTTAGGAAGGCTTATTGCCTCTTGACCTGTTGTTTGGGCTTGACTTCCGAAAGCAATTGTGCTGATCAAGTAATTTAATATTTAAACCATGGATAAATGCCCAGTGTTGCTGCTGGAGGAATGGGGGCTATAGGGGAGGCGTGCAAGCTGGGTCCCTGCCGGCTGCTGCCTCGGAGCTCCCCTGCCCCTTCCCTGCTCCCCCGGCCCCCCAGAATCGGCATCGCCTGGGGAGAAGGATCCAGGTGGGTTTACCATCCAGCCTGGGTCTGTTTTTTGGGCACCCGAAGTGCAAAGGCTGGTTGTCTTGGAAACAGCTGGGAATAAGGAAAATTGCAGCTGATCTGCCAGAACCATTTTGACAAAAGATTCCTTTCTTTTTTTTTTTTCTTTTTTTTAAATGCTTCCTGCTTCTTGTACTTAATGTTGCTCTACAGCAAAACCTGATTTTTAGAAACTGGATTAAATAAAGCGTGGACACCCTCCATCAGAATAACTCTCTGCTGGCATGGGCAAGCAGGAGGATGGGGAGGACATGGCGATGCCACGGGTACCAATTTTTGGGCATCACGAGTTTCTCCTGTCCCTGCACTCTGGGATATGGCCGGATCTAGTTGCAGGATCACGGTCCACCAGAGCTTGCTGTGGATGAGCAGGAAAGGTAGGAATTAGACTCCAGGAAAACCAAATCCTGCCTGGATGAAACATTTTAGGTGATGCATGCTTGGAAGACCGTAAATCAGCAATCAGCCTTGTCAAGGGCTTCTTACAAAAGCACTGGGCTCCGCAGCTCTGAGCTTATTTCGTAGCACCAGGAAGCGTAACCCCCCATACCACGGCAGTGAATTAAAAACCTTGATGGTGTCCTCGTCAAAATAAGGAGAAGATCTCACCGTGATTGGGTCTGGGTCACGCTTGTGCTCCTCCGTTGGATTGCAGGGCTGAATTTGCCACTTGCATTCTAAATGCATGAAAAAAACCCTGTTATTCTGCAAGATGCAAAGGCTCTGTCATTCTTGGGCTGTAAGGCCAACCGTGTCCTGGGCTGCATCACCAGCAGCGTGGCCAGCAGGTCGAGGGGGGGATTCTGCCCCTCTGCTCTGCTCTGGGGAGACCCCCCCTGCTGTGCTGCGTCCAGCTCGGGGGTCCTCAGCACAGGACAGACATGGACCTGCTGGAGCGGGTACAGAGGAGGCCACCAAAATGATCGGGGGATGGAACAACTCTGCCATGAGGACAGGCTGAGAGACTTGGGGTTGTTCCGCCTGGCGAAACGGCGGGTCCGTG